ATTACTTGACTTTTATAGCGCAAATTGAATTTCTAGAGACGGAAAACGCGCAAAATCTCGTAGAATGAACCCAGAGGCAATGATTTCCGCAAGAGATGCTCTGCCGGAAGTTGCTGAGCGATTGAGACAACAGTCGCTCTACTGTAATATACTTGTAAAAATTGATAATATTATTTTATTTATTAGATTATATTTTAAAAATTCCTAATAATAGCATTATAAATAATCGACACATTTTAATATTTAGAGTGTAATGGCAAAAACAATGCGTGCGTCAACGTGAACTTTTGCTGCGGCAGAAAGGCAGATGGTTTTTTGTCTTTATATATTAAAGACTATGTAAAGTCCGTTCTGCGCATACGTTCTGCGCAGGCTTACATTCCAATGGTCGGGACCCGATCGTTGGAATGTTATTAATATTTCGTATCTTTTGAAATTTCTTGAATTGAATCTCTAGTGTGTATTCATTTACAAGCATAGCGAACCAGAAGAGTGTTAAAAATTCAGTATAATATATATCTAATATATTTTACAACTGTAGCACTGAGTTCAAAATGTAAACAAAGCGATTGTTTACATTACGGACTTTACATGGTCTTTAAAGTGCGACTGTGACGAAAAGTCATCATCGAGAAAATTCCCTTTTTTTGCTGGCAACGACTTTAGTGTTGCACCAAAAATGCTTGTGCAAAATTTCAGACGAACATATATGATTAACGACCGCGGAGTTACAAGCATTTGAAATATCAAAAATCGCTGTCCGCCATTAAAATCCGTCATCTTTATTTTATTTTGTCACGAGAGGCTTCTGACGTCATAGTCTCAACACACCGCAAGGGAGGTATAAAATTAGCTTAATTCTGGTCTTCAACCACGCAAAACAACCATGATGTGCGCATGTCACGACTGGGGCTAATTAGTATCCAGACCCCATTGAGTGGAATGGCGCAAGGAAGGAACTGCCAAGCAATACGACTTTACAAAGATTAAGAAGAAAAATAAGAACATAGTCAGAAAAGGAGCTCGAACGATTAAAGATGCGGTACAGTCCGATCTGCGCATGTGCACAAAGGAGCTCTCTTTTTACTTACAAACAGTTTATTTAGGTTTTTATTTCATTTTATGTTCTTGCAAAGCTTGATTGTTGTCTCTTCTTAATTTATTATACTCTAGAATCATGAAAATATAAATAGTTGTCGAATAAAATTCAATATTTTGGATATCGAAATGTAAAACAAAGCCTTTGTTTACATACGGACTGTACCGCATCTTTAAAGATATCGCTACTTTAACTTCGTCTAAACCTTCGTCTTCACGTGCACGATCTTTTAATGACACAGAATCTCCAGGTATGAATTATGTAACATGTTGAAGTCAATACTTACGAACACAAAGTGCAATCACAAATTGTAAGTATCCAGTTGAAACTATAAGTATATATCTCGATCTACTTTTAATTCAGTACTATTAGATGCTATTAATTCGCACACTTTTGTAATACTTTAATTTTTCTAGTATTTGCTGAGAATTCCTGGTATAAAATGCATGTAAACAATATGTTTTCCATATGTGTGAATATATGAAAACCCAGTAGCTATCTCTTGTGTATTTACCCTCTAGAAAATGAACAAGCCATGATGTCTGAGTAATCTTAATTAATCATTGTACTGTAGTAACTTGTTAAAAACGGTACAGGTTAACCCCTCAATAATTCTTTGGGTCTTGAGTGATGCCCAAATGGCCAAATGCACAATATGCCAGCTAGCCCGCCCTTGGGTAAATATACAAAATAATATAATATAATTATACAGTATATACTAAATGCTGTATGACATACCTGCCAGACTGTAAAGTTTTGGCTTTGGAGGAAAATAATTTGCTGTGCACAAAATTCTTCACATTGTAAAAAACTGCAAATAATTTCCGAAAAATCTGCACAAGATGCCTTTGTGCCGGTACCAAAGATGGAGAAAATTTTCTGATCCTCCTACTGTATTTGACAAAAATGCTTTCTGCCTGCAAGAATCCCTTTGGGTCTTTCATCAATGTTTTGGGGAAATATGCAACATTTCTTGATCTGAAAATATGGAACAGTTTTTTGATCTATAAAAGATCTCTATCTTCACCGATATTTTGCTGATATCGACAACGATATTATATGTCATTTCACAAAATTCAACCGATACCGATATTTCTATTTTAGTGCCGATACCGATGCAGCGATATGGATGGACGTCCATCGTCCAGGTTTTAGCATTTGTACGGTCGAAAGTCAAAACACTAAAACCCGCACACGTGCACTTCCGCCCCCGTACTTTGTTGTCATTTATTGTATACTTCGTCGTGTATTAATAATAGAGAGTTTGAGCAAGACAACGAAGTCGGACGACGACGACGTGGTTGACAATGTTTGCCTGCATGTCTTGCACATTATCTTGCGCATTCTGAGTTTAGGGTCAGGAGTGAAGACAGATTAGAGATTCATGTCTAGCTGTTTGTGAATGATGACCCAAATCCTTACCCTGATCAGGATAAAACAGCGAGATATGAATCCATATCCCGTCTTCGTCTTCTGCCTTCGTTCACAACGAATATTTTGGCAAAATTCGTTGTGAACTTCGTTCTGCACGAAAGCAGAAGGACTATGTCTCGCTGTTTTTTTCTGGATCAGGGCATGAATTATGGTCAGTATCATAAACAGTGACACATGGGAAGACACGTTGAGCAACCACCACTGACGTCAACACCGGTATGTGCAAGATAATGTACAGATGGCAAAAATTGTCAAGTATGCCTTCGTCTTCGTACTTCGTTGTCTTGCTCAAACTCTCTAATAATGCTAATATTTCAATACTTGTAACAAAGCATGGCTTCTCCGTAAAATTCACTGCATAAGCAGCAAAATTTAAGGTTACAGGACACCCTTTTTGGCGTTTTGTGGAAAATCGCTACTGCGCGCTCAAAATCAGTCCGATTTTCATCAAACTATTTTCACCAAATGTTAGCCAGTGCATGCAAAATATGGTGAAGTTATAAAATTGACAAACAATAAAATAATGTAAGAATTATTCAGGAAAATCTTAAGTCGCGGTACTTCAACGCTTTTTAGTTATGTTCCTGCTGGTTTTAAGATATATTTATGAAAATATCATTTTTATACAGTAACATAGTGGTTCTAAAAAACTGTGTTCGGAAATTTTTGTTCATTTCGTCATTCCGCTGATATGGCGATTTCTTTGATGACTGCAATATATTTCTGAATCGTTTGTGTGAATTGCTCCTTATTATTAAAATATCCGAAATTACAACAAAGCCGAACACAATTTGAAACTGACGTTTTTAGCTATGTGCCTATGTCCTGTGAAAATTTGAGAAAAATTTGTTAAAACCCGCAGGAGCACAACTCGTTTAAAAATAAGTAATTGCCGTAAAATTCTTCGGGAGAAAATTGAATTTGAATATTACATTTTCAATGTTTTTCTTATTGCAAGCGAAATGTATTTTATTAAGTACGTAACTCTGCGAGTTTTCAACATTTTTCGTCCAAACTTGGTCAGATATTAGAACTAGTCTAATGCTTTCATGAAACCAATAAAAAAAAATTAGGCAAAATTAACACTCAAAGGTGTTCTGTAACCTTAACTTTAGTATTATTGGTAACGCATAATTTGGTAGCCGCTAAAGTAATACAAAACAAAATATAGCAGGTTTTTTTTAAAGAAAAATTTAGAACTGCACATTTTATCTTTGCGGCATACCCAATGGCAATGGTTTCAACAAGGTCAATAATGTCGGATCTTGGGTAACAATACAACTGGCAGCTTAACTTTGTAAACTTGTTATTATAAATCATTGATGGAAAGTTATTAAAATATAATAAACAAAATAAATGCCAGTTATTGACAAATGCAGTAATTTAATTAGTTTTTGTTAATAATGGTAGATAAAGTACATAAAACTATTTTTTTTTTTCTTGCGGTCCGAAGTCATATTTTACGCTTTTCTGCAATCTGATTGGCTACGTGAGCGGTCCGTGTGAGCCCGTACGGACCGCGCGAGATTTAAAGCCGTAGAGGCAATGTTTTTATTTTTCAAAATTTAAAGACGAGTTTAAAGGCTACTTTTTAAAATATTAAAATGTCTGCAGACGATGAAGAACACAGTGAAAGCGAACTTTACTATCTCACAAAAGATATTACTCTTCCCGATAGCATTGATAGAAACGACGTTTTATTTGGCAGCTTCATTCGCGTGCGGGAGGAGTGATTGGAGAAATCCAGAGGAGGAATTAAAAAAAAAAAAAAAATTATTTACCGGTATGGTCGGTCCGTATAGAGAAATATTTCTCTCGGTCTTAAAAACGTCCCTCGACCTTCGGCCTCGGGCCGTTTTTAAGACCTCGAGAAATATTTCTCTATACGGACCTCCAATCCGGTAAATAACATATATATAATAGTCAGTTCACTCAACTTAAGACAAGTATTTATAACCCATGCCAATAAATCAAGAATGCGAGGCGCCGAAGAATCAAGAATGAAGAAATAATTTCGCATAAATATCCTCAATGATTGAGATGTCAACAAATAAATATATTTATACTATAATTCTATAAAAATTCACCAGCTACCTTATCCGATCAAGCAGGAAATATAGCGTTATTTCTGAATTCCAGTGAACACCACTGTTTCAAATTCCATTCGTTTTACGCCGATACACATATTCTACGTTCGCTTTATTAAATATTTCGGATTTGTAATCCTGTATTAATTTTCTTGAGCAACTTTTCACCGCCATGTTTGTTTTAGAGGGAATCAATGGGATATTACAAGTATAAATAGGATATATGTGTACAGCTGGTTGTGATTAGATTGGATTAGACAGGATTCCCGTGGTAAGCTGCTGACACGTAAATAGAAAGGCGCAGAATTGTTCGCGCCTTTTTAACTTTTTCAACATTGAAAAAACGTCCGACGCGAATATAAACTTAACATTTAATAATAATGAATAATGAGGATCAAGGACCAAGTGAAACTGCAAAGACATCAGAGAAAAACACTAAAGAGCCAAAAGAGGATAATCTGAAACACTTACACAAGAATGGTCGCCACTATGTGCGTTGTGAGACATGGTTTTCGAACCCCAATGTCGTCAAGATTTTCAGCAGGAAAGCTAAACTTCCAGCGATTGCTCAAGAACCGGGGACTATATACCGTAAAAGCGTCGTTTCCGACCATCTGAACAGCGAAATTCATCGCGAAGCAAAAAAGACAAAGAGATTGTTGTCTTTGAAAGGACCGGAAAAGCTTCATATGACGTCATTGACACCAATTGGAAGGGCATTATCGATCGCAGATGCACAATTGGCTGCGAAAGTTGCTAGCTTATTTTTTTCACGTTTACCATGGTGCTAAGAGACTTACTTTGTCTGCCAATTCTTTCCCTTCACGTGTGGTTGTAAGCCGAATAGCAAATGCGTTTTCTTTTGATGATTGGAGTATAAACGACATGCCTAATGATCTCCAATACCTTTCACCAAACGCACACAGCGAATTCCTCAACTGCATTGTAAAGACAGATAGAAATTCACTTGCTTCAAAGATGTCAAACTCGTTGGCCATCTCCTTAAGATGTGACGGATCGGTTGATAGAACGCAGATAGATAAGATATATTTAAGAGGCAGTCTCTGTAAGAACCTCATGACCTCTTAGGATCAACAAATAAATTTCTCTCAAACTTTGTAGTTGAGATTGCCTTTATAAGGGTTGTTTCAAAATGCATTTTGTTTTCAGTCTAATTGCATTTTGGTAAAGTTCCAGGGGGGTCAAGTTGAGGGCTAAAATTACGATTTTTGCTGTTCTCAATAGTGGATTTTTGCTGATTTTTAAACCTCTGTACATCAAACAAAAATAATCATAAAACTAAATCTTTCCAGACAATGCTAAGCTTTTCCAGTGGAATAGCTTAGCATGGTTTGGTGGAATAGCTTAGCATGGTTCTATTGATCCTTTCTATTTCTTCCTTCTGCATGTAGTTTATTCAGTTATTATTTTTGTATGCAGTAAAACTTGATTAAATTAAATTAAATTAATAGTAGCTTTATATGTCTTAAGTAACAAGGTATCTATAAATTTTTCAAATTTGTTTTCTAAATATAGAAATGACATCATTCATGATAGACTAAAATAGAAATTTCCAAGTTCCTTAAAAATGGGTGAAATAAAACCCCTAAAATTCAAAAGTTAGACTTGCTATGAATGTAATATTATTTGTATGGTGAGATTAAAGGTTGGTCTTACATAATATAAAATAAAATATTGCGGCCTGTAAATTTTGGAGGTACTACAGGCCAACAAAACATCAACATATTCGACTTTCGGCAGTTTGGAGCAAATAAGAACGTTCATGTTTACTGTAAACTCTGCTTTGAAAGAGCAAAATTTTACATATTATTGGACCTAGAACAGTGATGAACATTCGTTTGACCTTTACTGTTGTCTAAAGTCTTTTAGGGAAAAGCACTGACACAGGCATTTCCGTTATGTATGGACGTAATGGACCGTATTGACGTATTGTATAAATAATAAACATTTTCTAGCTGAATATAATCAAGACAAGTTATACATTTGCATCATGTAAAGACGTCCGTTAGTAAACAAATTATCAAACATCGATTTATGTTGAAGATTTATTTAGAAAGTCAAGAGAAAACCTACCCCAATATAATTGATACAAAGTATGCCTCGATCATAGCCTTGTCGTTCAATGACCCCGATTGTCAGTTGACTTATTATTTGACGTTCGTTAGCTTCCATTATTCTTTAGTGTTAATCACTTTCGATATCTTAATGATTATTGTAGACACAGTCTCGTATATAAATCGTGATTCTTCGTCAACAGGCAATGCTAGTCAATTCCTCCATCGTTTAATTTTACTCGTTTTGTTATTGTTATGGTGGAAGCCGCTGACCAGCTAAATAATTCGGCTGTCAAAACACGTGCAACATGTCGAGAATTGTTTGCTTTCACACCGAAAATTTACCGCGAGACTATTTCCACAGGTGATTTTTGACTTTTTAATATTTGTGAAAACACATGCAGCTGAAATAAAAAAATATATCTAAATTTTGTATAATTTCACGGTTTTGATATTAACTTGCTTTCATATAAACACTTGCTTGCGTGTTGCGTTAATATATATGTAACCACAGGCGGCCCAATCTCAGAATGAATGATCAGGTGCACCTAAACCATGCACGTGCATTGCATTCAGTATTGTCTAACTTAAATTTTGATATACGTCATGTGCATGCCATTTTCGTGCAATATTGACCGAGAGAGCTGTGTTTAAACTTGAATAAACATTTTGGGAAGTGTCGATAATTAGCTAAAAACGGCCTGTTAAACTAATTTGATAACCGTTACCATTTTACGTAAAATATTCGTTTCAATGAAGTGAAGTTTAAGTTAAAAAAACGTTTATTGGATGGATGTGCTCTTTTATTTTGTTTAAAGTCTTTGGGAATGCATGAAAATTAACTTATGACGCGATTTTGATTGAAAGATTTATACTAAATATTCAATAACCCTAGGGAATCAAATTCTAATGTTCCAAGAAAGAAACGTCACCTGTTTGTTTTATAGATACGCCTCGTTTAACGTTCGAAGGACCAAGAGTTTCGATATGGTTATAGTATGCAAGAGTAAATGATTCTCGTTAGGTTATACCGGCGGCGTTGGGCAGGTCTCTGAAAACGAACGTGTACTTATTGATTATAGTGTGTCTAAACACAGGTTATTGCTGTATTAATATTTGATAGGCTGTTTTTGGCTAATTCTCGACACTTTCAAAAATGGTTACTCAAGTTTAAACGCAGCTCTCTCGGTCAATATTGCACAAAATGCACAGGGCGTATATCAAAATTTAAGTTAGACAATACTGAATGCAATGCGCGTAGTTTACGTGTAATAGCTCTTTTAGTTTTTAAGTTAAAGAAAATCAAACATAAACAAATATATATATATATATAAATGTGTTTGAGGAATCATGTCTGGACTAATATTTGGCCCCCTCTTCGGATATTAGGCCTCATTTAAGGCTGAACAAATACAAGCATACTTCGTTGTAAAAACTCAATTACATAATTATATACATTCCAATGAACGCGTGAAACCTATTTTTGCATATAAGAGGTAGATATAGACTGGAGTGAATAGAAAAGTTTTCGTCTTACTTGGTTTTAAATTTGCAAAATCTTGTAATTTTTTTGAAGCAGCATATGTAATCATGCAAACGTTAGTGTTGCAAGAAGATAGTTCGAAAGAGAATCTTTTTTAAAATTCTCTGTTCGACGTTGACGTAAACGTTTTCTTGGAGACGTGTATCCAACAACGTCCAACAGAGAATTTTGAAAATATATTTTTTTAGTGCAAGTTTCCCTTCTATGCTGATCTAATTTCTTAATGAATAACTAATATATATAAGATCAAGACGAAGTTGACTTTTATTTTTTATCCAGGAGGCAAGGATGGAAAGAAACGAAAACAGAAATGAAAGCGAGAAAGACGACGAAGCTATTGAATTTAGCTACAGAATTGATGATAATCCACCCTGGTGTCTCTCTTTGTTGTTAGGATTTCAGGTAAAGATATTTAAATATTCAGAGCTCCCGTCTAATAGTAGGCCTACTGATGTTAAGTTAGGAGTGGCCGGAGAATTTTTTAATATAATCTTGATTTCCAACTGTAAAATGTTTATAATATGCACTGAGGGGTGGCGGTAATAAAAATATATTATCAGATAAATGGGAGAGATCACATTCACATTCAGATTTTATGATCTCTGTAACTCATCTGATGTTAGTTACCTTTGAGACAAGGTATACTGTTGTGTTACTGTTTACACATAGAGTATACATTCATATACAATTGAGTGGTTCAGATTTGACTTCCGCTACCACTACCATTCACTGGCTTAGTACGCATCTGATTGGTTAATGGATTGTTCAAATGCATTTGATTGGTAGCGATAGCGGTATAGTCGAAGTCAAATCTGAACCCCCATGCATAATATATATGCGAAAAGCCGCAACGAATGTGGCTTAAAAATAAAAACGTTTTGCAAGGGAATTTTTCCACAATATTCTTAATATACAAGAGTTGCCAAGGTTTATCTTATACACTCATATAATGCCAAATACAAAAGGATAAAAATGACAAACGTCACCAATTGGAGGAATTGACGTACTGGGCGTACTTTTTGAGAATAAATGAAGTCAACGTCCAGCGGACAAACGAGGATGAGAGTGCCAAGTCACGAATTGTTACAGGGGACATTTCAGGCTCTAGGTGAACAAAATAAAGGTCTGATGGTTTTCCCAACTAGTTTTTAACTCAGTTAAATAGAATACATGATAATATTGGGAAAGCATTAAATAGGAACAAGTAACAGCTAACCAAAGTTCTCGTGACTGCCAAATCTCCGGCACTCTCATCCTCCTTTGATCCGGGCATCATTTCTCATATAATTTTGGCCAAAACTGTTAATGCATGAAAATTAATGGGGCATATTAATTTGAGCAATAATAAACATGCGCAGAACTGATAATATTATAATGAACAATTTTAGTTTTTTACATCGGATTGATACAACCATAGCCTAACACATTCTTTTACCTCTATATTTTAAATTCCCACGGTGCACTGATGGACACCATGGGTAACTTACGAGTATTTGGATAAGTAAGTCACTCACTTTTAATTAAGATTAAAAAATTCATTAATAATTCACGAGGAAAATACAAAAGAAATGAATGTTTAATCAATGTTTGCAAATCGGATAAAGATTTGTCCTGATTTACATAAACTTCAGCTTTGATTTTCTCGGCTTAGACAATGTTTATTTTTAAAATTATTTCGCCAATGAACTCATAAGATGGGTCGTTTTTTAAGTACGATAAAACATTCGCATCCGATCTGTATCTGATATACAAACTCAGATACAGATCAGATACAGATCGGCTGCTCATGTTTTATCTAGTACATAAGGTATGCATGGTTATATGCATGGTTATATGCATGGTTATAGTGCATGTATACGGTTAAAAACACAAAGACTGTGTACAGTTATCTTGGTCACAGTTAAGACATGAACTAGATTATATATGTATACGTGTATCATGATATAGCCTAGTGCAGACTTTTCTTTTTTCATAGCATTACCTGACAATGTTTGGTGCCACAATATCCGTTCCCATCATCATAGCTCCTGCATTGTGTGTCACTGATGACGTAGTCGTTGGAAAACTTATATCTACAATATTCTTCATGAGTGGAATAGCGACTCTCTTACAAACAACTTTTGGTAACAGGTAACTTTAAGTTGAACTCACTATTACTTTAATTAACCAATGAAGGGAACTGGTGAGTGGTTGTGAACTTTGAACCATGAGAGCTCTTCTTTGCATGGACACTTGCTCGTTTATACATGCACGTGTCGACATTTCTAAGATTGACGGCGGTTATAGTTTATATATACTGTATATATATATAAATATATATATATGTATATATATATATATTATTATTATATATAAATATATATATATATATATATATATATATATATATATATATATATATATATATATATATATATATATATATATATATAGGTCATATATTTCTAAGATTGACATGTTATATATGCTCTCTTGCGAAAGCTTACTGAAACCTACCAATTGGAGGGAAATTTATACATGTATATAATATATATATATCTAGTATCTGGATATATTTTTTTGTTAAATTTCTATAGACTCCCAATCATACAAGGCAGTACGTTCTCGTATCTTGTACCAACATTTGCAATTTTATCTTTGCCTAAATTTCAATGTCCACCAGGATTTAAAGGTAAATTTATAGAGTTACTATTTTCAATTCATCTTCAGCACCAATTTTGTAATTCTTTCAAAACTGTGGAGAAACTGGGGGCGGGGGGAGGAGGGCTTAACTATCCTGTTAATGTTTTAACCATGACATAAAATATACCAAATCTGTGGCTTTCAGATTATCTGGCATAAAACGTGTCCAAAATGCATGATATAGCGTTTCGCTCGTTTGGGCCGACTACGCCTCAGTTTCTGCCAACAGAAACTTTAATATTTAGTTTACAGATTTAAATCTATTTTAAACCTTCTGAACGGAAAATTCAAAACTAGATCCTGTTCTGATTTGTTCCAAAAACTGATGCTTTTTGTCTGTGTGACTGTGTTGCCCCACAATATTATTAATAGTATTATACCTAACTGCATGCTCTGCCAGTAACCTCGATAAATTTAATTGAAAGTTCTAAATCAATATTTATACATAATATTTCAATACACGCTTCTGGAAAGAACGTCACCTTGGCTATAGAAACTCGTTTCCATGACTGAGCATCAGGCTTTGACTAATGTCAGATACACGAAAACGAGGCTCAATAGCCAAAGTGACGTGCTATCAGAGAACTAAGAACTAATCATTACGAGGGGACCATCTCATAATAAGCCTTGTGGTTCCTTGAGGTCGCTTCGCCAGCACCTGAATTTATACTGAACAAAGCTGAATTGAATTTCTCTCTTGCTTATTCGTAAACGGTGACAGCCGAACAGGTTTTACCTTTTTGGGAATATTTTATTTTCTGTGTATGGTTTTGTAAATATAGCCACTGTGCAAATTTATGATTATATTCATAGAATCCAACAGCACTTCCGATGAACTTTGGAAAATTCGTATGAGAGAGGTAGGCCATGATCCATATATGTTGATATTTTCTTCACCCTAGTGTGACAATAATGATGTAGTTTTAACCTGCAAACTAGACCCATCTGAATAAACGCCTGTTAAATTAATGGCCTAGAGGTTTTTTAAGGCTTGGCAAACGAAGACCACTTGGTAAAGACCAAAAAAGATATAGTCCCTCAGGTTCCCAGGATATATACGCCTGCGACTACGCACTCCATAAATGTTATCCCCGAGCCGACGGCGTGCGTGGGTACTAATTCCCCACGGCTATTAACACGCGGGGAAACGAAAGCATTAGCGAAGTCTAAAGTTCATCAATGAGCACGGGCGTTGCTCACCAACGATGTTTCGGTGGGTGGTCATCCTCACTGATCTCAAAAATATGGCGGACTGTCATGAATAGCGGACACTGATTGGTCCAATTTAAAGTTTGCATTATAACGACTGCATGACGACAGCGAAATAGCAAACATTTCTTGATTTGATGATTGATAAATTTTTTGCAAATATTTATTTCATTTTTGCTCGCATTTTTGCAAGATTTTGCAAATTTCAAAAGCTTTCTCAGAAAGAAAGGGCGAAAGAATCGGCTAAAAGAAGGAGCCGACGTTAACGAAGGTAAGGTTGCTTTAAATATTGATTAAATTTATAATTGCTTTAAAACCCGACGGCCTTTGCGTATATAAAACAACTAAAAAAGACAGCATATAATTTCAGTGTATCATTAATATTGATTCCCTTTTTTATTATATTGAATTTTTTAAATAAATAAAAAAGAAAGCAAAGTTATTGCATGCTAGAATTTGAAATCATTTTATTGCAAACTCAAAGTTTATCGATAAAGCCATTTAATTAAAGGCAGTTTAGTTTTATAAAGAACACTTTAAAACGTTTTGTGAAGCATTTGTGGTTGAATTTTACCTTAAATTGAAGACTATTTTAAGTATAATAACATACCTAACATATAAATGTTGGGAAATTGATAATTTTGTAATTAAAAGTGATATTTTAAGGCAATTTTTCATTTGTAAGAATATTCTTTACAAATTATCGTGTGACCATGACAACTACTTTAGATACTTCATGTTCGGAAAATGCAATGGTTTTGCGAGCAAGGCGAGGGTTTCTGCATGCATGTATTTTCTAGTTAGTAAACTATTGTCTAGGTCATGAGTGAGGAGGGCCTAGAGTGGTGGACGATCAGATTAAGACCCGTTTACACTGGCGATTTTTGCTGCGATTTTAGTTGCGACTTTCTCCTTTTGGAGGATGTGAAGGAGTAGGTACTTCATGATGTTGTTATGAGATTTCATAACCTGAAACATTTATAACTCATCCACTTCTTCACATCCTCCAAAAGGAGAAAATCACAACTAAAATTGCAGTAGAAATCGCCCGTGCAAACGGGCCTTTATATTGTTGTGATATTGATAAAATGTCATTATATCGATGTTAAGAAGCGTTGAAATAGAGTTTTAATTTCCGAATCTACGCACAGGTTGTATTCACAAATGTTATACACGTCACAGAAACAGGGGAGGGCTGAGAGCTTTCAGGGATTCGGTATAAATGGGGCGGGGGGCGGTAGCGGAGGGGTAAAGTCCTGAGTATCAATTTGGAATAAAATGGCCCAGGTATATATGAGTGGATAAATATATTGCTAAATGTATAGTATTTAGTATTATTGTAAATTTAGTATGTAAAATAAAGTTCCTTTAAACAGATTCAGTGCAGTTAATGATCACATCACATCACGCACGTCCGTTTGAACGAAGTAAAGTCAAAGAGCTCAATTCCGAAGAACTCATGGCAAATTAGCTTGTCCATAATGCACTCTCTCTATTGCCTTTTAACTACAGCGCAATATTCGTTTCGATAGGAATGCATATTTAATTTGGATATGTTATTTTCGAACGTACAGTAAATCGATATTTTCGGTATATTGATATTATAACTGCCCGGCCATGCCATTTCGCAGCCAGAATTTTGCCTGCGTCCCATTGATGATTTGGCAAATTTCCTTCTCAGCAGCAAAACTGCCCGTTTTAATTCCCCACTCAGTGGTTTAATTTGCCCAGTGTAATAATAGGCTAACCCAAGCTCCTCATTTTGCCTCTACGACATTTTATATCCAGGTTGCGATGGCCAAATATTTGTGTGTAAAATATTTACTGAGCAATAAAATTAGGTTTTTTAATAAAATGACATAAAAATATCTGAATCTGTAAATATGTTGTGAGAAACAGTTTGTTTACAGATTCAAGGTGCAGTCATGCTATCCTCCCTATTTCAAATTTTCGTCGGCTTCACGGAATTGGTTGGTGTTCTCTTACGTTTTATTGGTCCTATAACAGTTGCTTCTACAATTGCGTTGGTTGGCTTATCACTGTTTGCAGTTTGCTCGAATTTTGCAGGTAAACGAAACTTATTTTAAGCACGTTAAAATAGGAAGTGGACATATCATGATCTATATAGTTGATATGCATTAATTTGATACAATTCGTCTTATTCTGCAGGGGCGCACTGGGGGATTGCAGTGTTGTAAGTATACTGACTTAACGTCAAAAATGAATCACGTTGTGAATTAAATTAAATTAAGATCATCTCTAAAGAAGAATCAACGTCGAATACATTGTTTCGGAACTCATTCATTTACCAGACTGAGTAGAGTAGCGAGAAAAACCTCTTTAAAATTAACATTATTTATCTCAACTAACCGTTTTCAACAAGATTTTGTCTTGGTTTTTAGGACAATTGCAGTGATTGGGATTTGCTCACAATTATTGTCACGTGTTAAAGTCCCTCTTCCTACTTATTCTCAACTGCGAGGATTTCACACCACAGGCATTGCTATATTTGGATTATTCCCAGTGAGTTGAAAATCCATTAACTTATATCGAACTATTATAACTATTATTACTTCTGACTTATATAAATAATCCCCGAGCCAACGGCGCTCCGCGCCGTTCCGGGCGCCAGCCCGGGGCGAGGGTGTTCATTTCCCCGGCTATTTACACACGGGGAAAGGAAAGCATTAGCGAAGTCTAAAATTCATCAATGATCGCGGGCGTGGTCGCGTGGGTGACCAACAGTGGGTAGTCATCCTCACTGATCTCAAAAATATGGCTGTTTGCCATGAGAAGTGGGATAAGCAAGATTTCAATATTCAAAAGCATATATTTGGAAAATCACGTTTCAGACAATGAGCTTTGAAGCAATTTTTGTTTGAAGAAATGATAAGAATTCATTTACTGTGTGGAAATCGTGAAATATAGGGCAAGTTTGCTTTGAATGTTTAATGTTTATGAATTTTGTTGCTTTTATTTATTGCGTATAAAAACATGCACTGCTTTCCTTGCTAAATTACCCTGTTTAATATAAGAAAAAAAGGTAAAATGCAAAGGAGAGCAAATTATTTGAAAACCTAACTGAAATTACTCAACAATTTGAATTTTTTTTTTATCCCAGAGCCGACGGCGCGAAGCGCCGTGCGAGGGTACTAATCCCGCATGGCTATTTATATCCGGGTGTTTGAGAACATAGCGAAGTACAAAGTTGTCCTCCATTATGTCACAGAGTAGAGACATACAGAGACGTAACTAGTGTACTCACTTTTTTTTGTGCGCATGCTCGGCAAGTTACTAGATGCATGCATCTAATTGGATGACGACCTGATGACGACTCACTTTAAACTTGCTGAGCACGCGCAATTGATCATTTTTCGCCCGGTCGCCTGAAAAAGAATGGGTACATGATAACGTAATCTTCCGCAGTGTTGACGACGGTCAGTTACGTCTCTGTATGTCTCTACTCTGTGATTATGTGATGGACGGTCTTCGACGATATGCGCGTGCGCGAGTACAAGCTCCGCTAAAAAAATGTTTTTCATTTTACTCCAGGACCTGTATATGAGTTTGTATGCATTTCATTTAGGACAGATAATCTCAACTGTTTTGGGGCAAGTTGGCCATGACGGTCAACATGGTAACGTTGCCCGAACCCCAATCCGGGGCGAAACGTCCGCAACTGACCACACCCAAAAACGACGCTTTCGCCATACTGCTATCTACCAAACCATAAAAGCTTTGGCTATTCTGAGGTGCTTATATGGTTCAGAGATGGTACTTTTGGGGGTGGTCATTGGTAAGTGTGAAATGCCCAGCACTAATATTTCACAAGAATATGACCATGCAATAATCATAGTTAAGCGTCAATTTGTGGCTTGCAACTTCAGATAAACAGCAGTGGACTTACATTACCTTTTTCCCTAAATCTTCCTGATAGAAACATAATTGGTACTTATTTAAATATATTATCACTGGTTTAGTGTAAAATAGTTAATATTTTCTGACCGAAATAATAATTTGAAATGTGCCTACCTCCTGCAAGTGAACGCATTTGGCCAAGTTCTCCACTTTACTCCGCTGTTTATCGGCGATCTCGCCGACATCCTTCCAAAATGTAAATCATCTCAGACATAATGGTATCAAGAACATTTTAAACAAGTTTCAACTTGGTTTTAAGTAGATCATAGCTGTTTAACCATCGACAAGGTAAATCCACGACTTTGTCTAAAATTCGGCGCCATTTTGTCATCTCATGTCGGTTGTCAACAATTCGGCCTTGTTACTCTTCCATCCAAGCCATTTCCATTCCACTAATAACAAATTTAACCCTTTATAACCGGTAGGAAACTAAAAAATCTAAACAAAATATAAGAAATGCAGCATTTTATCACGCTGTAAAATGTTGCTCACGAGTCTTTCAAAACATTCCGTACAAATCTCGCGTGACAAAGAAAACAGGGACGTGACAGGGCCGGGGGGGGGGATTATTTCACGAAGATAGAAGAAGGCTGCGTGAAATAGACTAAAAGCTAAATACAATCATACAAACGTTTGTTTTATTTCTTGTCGCTACATATTATACATATGTCGCTACATATATATACATATTATCATTTATTAATATGAACAAGTCATACAAATTAAATGTTGATTGTTGGTTTTACCATACTGTGTGGGCTTTGCTTTCATTTTTTAAGTCTCTACCCCCCCCGCTGTCGTCCCTGTTGCTAAACCACGCGAGATTTGTACGAAATGTTTTGAAGGACTCGTAAGCAACATTTTACAGGGTGATAAAATGCTGCATTTCGCATATTTCATTTGTATTTTTATTTTAATACCCTTAAGTAAGGTGGTAGTCAGCCCTAAATTTAGATCGACAGTTTAAATTTTTTTCAACATTTTTTTTTTCTTTACTGACTTCATTATTTATTGTATTTTCGCCCCCTGAACTTTTTTTTCTGGTATTTGAAAGAGTTTCTTCAAAATATCCATTTTTATGGAAGGATGTCATAAAATTGTGCATAGCAACCATTTAGGATGACTTGTTAACTTTGGTTGCCATGGACTTTCTACCGCTGAGATGTATGATATTTTCGCGACAACCCCTTTGCCATTTCCCCCTTTATGCCTGCACTAAAATATCGCCTGATTGCAGGTTGAAACATCGATCAGGCCCTTGTGTTTACATCACACATGAATTTACATTTTTGAGTAGCTATACTTGGTATACAATATCTCGCAATCCAGCTGTTTACAAAGCGTTTTTAAGTTATTTTTTAACGAGGAAATGGTGAGAGAGGATAAAAGGAAGAAAGGATCAGTAAAGCATGGAAAAAGAAGGGGTTTTTCTGGCAAAAGATGGCAGGAGATAGCCGACGAATTTACAAATGACGCCAATCCTCGGGACGCCAATCCTCAGAGTTTACCCGGTGTTAGCGAGGTTTTACCAACGAATACAACTGCCGATCGCGAAAGTGTCTCGACTAAGAAGCTTCTAAACAGTTCTTTTGAGAAATTCGAAAGCAGCCGAGGAATTTTGACTCGTGAACAAGCAAGAAAAGTTGGTTTAGGATCGGCACGTGATGTTGAAATTGCAACCGGATTTAAAATACAAGATGCCACTCTCTTGAGCGATTGCATTTCGGCCGCAGCAGTATGTAGTTCCTGTCGTAAAGCAACATCAAAACTTAAACTTTATCAACGAAACAGCGATAGAGAAGGTTTGTCAGAATCATTATTCCTGCAATGTTCGTCTTGTGAGGTGGTGACTCCATTACCAACAAGCAATCGACTAGGTGGCAAAGGTGGTGTGTCTCATGAAGTCAACCGTCGAGCAGCTTTGGCTTCCCATCAATTTGGCCATGCTGGATTGACACAGTTCTGTGCTGGTATGAACTTACCTCCCCCAGTTGGTAAAGATTCATACAATAAGCATCTAATTAAAATTGAGAAGGCTGCCAAAACCAGTGCCGAAGAAGTAATGAAAGATGCTGCCAAAAGATTATTCGAAAAGGTTATGTCAGAATGTCCGGATGATATTGAGGAGGACGGCGAAGATTTGATTGCTCATGTTTCTGTGACAGTTGACGGTACCTGGCAGAAAAGAGGTCACTCATCAAAAATCGGAGTGATCTTTGTTATCTCAGTTGCAACTGGGGAAATCCTAGATTATGAAGTAAAATCACTCTTCTGCCATGAATGTAAAGCTCATAACAACCAAGATCATGAAGGCGAAGAGTTCCAAGAGTGGAAGAAGGCTCATGAACCAAAATGTGAAGTGAACCATGTAGGATCGTCTGAAGAGATGGAAGCTGTGTCTGCTGTTGACATATTTAGCCGAAGTATTGCAACAAGAAAATTAAAGTATACAACCTTTGTTGGTGACGGAGACAGCAGTAGTTTTGGCCGGGTAAAGGAGGCACTGGATAAAAAGTTTGGTGCTGCTTATGAAATTAAGAAAGAGGAATGTGTGGGGCATGTTCAGAAGAGGCTTGGAAGTGATTTGAGAAGGTATAAGAATGACATGAAGGGAAAGAAACTTTTGGACGGTAAATAGGTTGGAGGAAAAGGACGGTTGACAGACAAGGTGATTGATAAAATGCAAAATTATTACGGCAAGGCAATTCGGGGAAACAAAGGAAATCTGGAAGGGATGAGGAGCAGCATTAAAGCCATTCAGCACCACATGATAAAGAATGATGAACTAACACTAGAACAACAACACCAATACTGTCCCAAATCATCTGATACATGGTGCAAATACTGGAAGGACAAAGCCGACGGAACTAAGTTGTACAATGAAGATAACCGGTTACCTGAGGTTTTTATGAAACAATTGGACCCACTTTTCACAAGGCTATCTAATGATGACCTCTTGAGGAGGTGTTTGAAAGGGATGACCCAGAACCAGAACGAGGCAGCTAATGGTGTGTTATGGTCCAAGTGTCCGAAAACCAAGTTCTGTGGTGCAAGGCGCGTACGTATTGCAGTATGTGAGACAGTTGCTGTGTTCAACACTGGTGCTGCAAGCAAAGCTGTGATAATGAACTTGTGTGGTGTCACCCCTGGAGTCCATACAATGAGAGCTCTTAGAAAGCAGGATGACACCAGACTGAAGACTGCAGCTAAAAAGGTAAGTATGAAGTACCGAGAGAAAAGACAGAAACTCAGGGCGCAGCGAAAGTCAAAAGGTGACAAGATGGCATACCAACCTGGTGGCTTTGGACTAAGTGCCAAGCCTGTTGACACTGGAAAGAAAAGAAAAAGAACACCAAAACAGACAAAAACCAATGACGTAAATGAACAACCACAAATAACCTTTGTTATGCCGACTATTGAAGTAGTTGGTAAAAAACGACGGACATGACATTCGGTTTTGGTGTCTA